AATAATAAATATTTAGACTTTAATTGGAGAAGCCTGCCTCAGAGTCATTCATTGCGGGATTCCTTAGTCCTCTGGTATACATAACGGTCCACGGTCCCGTGGGGATATGTTAGGACCCCATTCTTGCATATTTTGAGCTAATTATAAGTTCCCCTAACTAGAACCTTCTTACCATGGCCCAGATATCTGCAATGACCGGGAGTGATTTTTCACATTTGAAGCTTGTATGCCAACTGTGCCTATTTCTTGAGATTTTGATCTGGCCATAGTGGTATATGTCTTAGGACCTTATCACACGGGGGAAATCCCATGCAGAAACGGGGTTTTAAATAGAAAAAAACCCGCAACAGTGGGTAGATTTTCACACACATTGCTGTTAAAGTGTGGTTAACCCAAGTGGACAGTAGTCAAAAGCTGCTCCTTTTTACTTTCGGGATTTCCCGAAAGTAAAAACAAGTGGCTTTTGACTACTTTCCGTTAGGGTTGTGCACACTTTAACAGCAACGTTGTCTGAAAATCTACCTGCTTTTGCAGAGTTTTTTTTTACTTAAAAAAATTTCTGCATGGGATTTCTCCTGTGTGATAAAGTCCATAGTTACATCCTATTTGGATTACTGTAACACACTCTGCATGGGGCTACCTTTGAAAAGTGTTTTGGAGACTTTTCGGCTAGTTCAAACACCTGCAGCCAGTGTTAACTGGGGCAAGTTACAGAGACCATACTACTTCCCTATTAAAACAGCTCCACTGGCTGCCAGTTTGTTTCTGGACACCATTCAACATGCTGGTTATGACCTATAGAGCCCTACATGGCTCAACCAGGCTATATGGCAGAGAGCATCTCCCAGTGTAGTGTAGTGATTTGAGTGCTGGACTATGGACTTTATCACACGGGGGAAATCCCATGCAGAAATGGGGTTTTAAATCGGGGAAAAAACTCTGCAAAAGTGGGTAGATTTTCAGATGATATCGCTGTTAAAGTGTGCATAACCAGAACGGAAGGTAGTCAAAAGCCATTTCTTTTTAATGTGAAGTCGTAGGCTTTCATGGCCGGCATCCATAGTTTTTTGTGGGTTTTTCGGGCTGTGTGGCCATGTTCTAGAAGAGTTTCTTTCTGACGTTTCGCCAGCATCTGTGGCTAGCATCTTCTGAAGATGCTAGCCACAGATGCTGGCGAAACGTCAGAAAGAAACTCTTCTAGAACATGGCCACACAGCCCGAAAAACCCACAAAAAACATTTCTTTTTACTTTCGGAAAATCCCAAAAGTAAAAAAGGAGTGGCTTGTGACTACTTTCCGTTTGGGTTAACAACAGTTTAACAACAACGTCATGTGAAAATCAACCCACTTTTGCAAGTTTCCCCCAGCTTTTAAATCCCATTTCTGTACAGGATTTCCCATGTGTGATAAAGTCCATGACTCTGAAGATCAAGGTTCAAATCCTGGCTCAGGCATAGAAACCCACTGGGTGACTTTGGTCAAGTCACAGTCTCTCAGCCTCAGGATGGCAATGGCAAAACCCCACTGAAGAAACACACCAAGAAAACCCTGTGATAGTGTCATCTTAGGGTCCCCATATGTCGTAAATGATTTGAAGGCATGCAACAACAACATCTCACTGTATTCCCATGCCTGGAAGTCCCTTCCCAGGGAGGCCAGAATGCCATTTCCCTGCCGTTTTCCCATTGGCAGACTAAAACCTTTTTATTTCAACAGGTTCTCAAAATGGAAAG